GCTAAGATAGTCGTAAGTTAATGTTAATGCATGACACTTCCGAATATCTTAGCGCTAAGAGAGCTTCGAAAATCTAGGCCCTGCAGGACTGGATAATGCATGACCAGGGTTTGACCAAAACGTAGCCTTTGCTTTTTCAAATTCTCTGGATGTTGAAATAACTTTAATGAGTTATGATACTAGCAATCACTTTCAGAACTATCTTATTAGTAAATTTAGTATTTAAAAAAGACATCTAAAAGCAGGAGCCAAGAAACTAAGTTAATACCAAGTGATTGTCCTGCCATGATATGTATGGTGTTTGTTTGCCTAGTTCTGCCTTAAAATCATAATAATCTGATATGTCAATCAATTAAATAATTATTTATTATTGATTAGATTATTATTAATTTTATCACCCTTCCACGTTTACTAAAAAAAGCAAGATTCTTAAAACATACCTTGCTATCATTTCCAGTGAATTAATCAAAATTACAGTTGTAATATTACTCCTAAAATGTACCAATATATGTGAATAATTTATGTGGTAACAAAACTTCAAATAATGTTCTCATAATTAAGATATACACTTTATTTCACTCCGTCCAATACACCAGAAAGTCGATCACTATTCTTCTCACATAGTTTTCGTATTCGATCAACATGGAGGAAGGTAATTCAATCCAAAGTCCCATGCAACTCTTTATAAAAAAGCTGAAATATTTAAAGCATGGTTTTATAGGCACTCATATGAATTAATTTTGATACTTGGATATTGCATGATAGGCAACTGCTGACACTGACAATATTTCCGTTTGAATAAAAAATATTACTCCTCGAATATTTTGCTCTGTTAACAAGATACTGTAGGCCTTCAGATTGTGCTTATGAAACTTAAAACATCCTAAAATGTGACAAATTGAAGAATATCTAAGAGCGAAGGGAACAATATCCGCCACATTGTTCTTTCATGTAACAAGTTTTGCTATTTCGGTTGACCGTAACCGAAATGGAGATTTGTTTACATTGTGTCACGGCTTTCTCGCCTGTCTCATTTGAGATTTATGGCGTACCAACTCAATGCCTAGTAGTGACTAAACACGTTAAGCAAAAACAATTTTGCAGTTACGAGAATTGTTGTCATCAATTGGTAATGATTTTGCACATGTGCAAAAGTGTGGAAATTCGTGCAAATTCTCATCAGCAGGCAGACGTAGGTTTCCTGAACGATGGTGCAGACATTTAACTGATCGTTAGGCCTATCGCGTTTCTTGATCCGCCTCCATTTTTGTTGTCTTGACCTTAATGGTTTGTTAAAGGTACACATCAAATCGCAGCAATATGTAATAAATATAGCGAGTGTAAATGGCATAATTCGAAGCACATCGCTTCGGAGGCATCGTTTGACCCCGGAAATAAGTCCGACAAATCCACACAGCGCGCCCGGCCTGCTGATTGGCCAAATTTGACGCATGCGCCAGTTTTGATTGACAGACTGGATCGGTCTATTATGTCGAATGAACCGTAAGCCCACGCACCCACTATGACGTCACTTGACAACAGATCTGATAGTGGCCCGTCGTTAAGGTTGAGCGGTCCAATATCATTTGCAGCGGCCCGCAAATTTTTGATAATGGGATGGCCGTTTCATGATAATAGACCGATCCAGTCTGTCAATCAAAACTGGCGCATGCGTCAATTTTGGCCAATCAGCAGGCCGGGCGCGCTGTGTGGATTTGTCAGACTTATTTCCGGGGTCAAACGATGCATCCGAAGCGATGTGCTTCGAATTATGCCATTTACACTCCCTATATTTATTACATATTGCTGCGATTAGATGTGTACCTTAACAAAACCATTACGGCCAAGACAACAAAAATGGAGGCGGATCAAGAAACGCGATAGGCCTAACGATCAGTTAAATGTCTGCACCATCGTTCAGGAAACCTACGTCTGCCTGCTGATGAGAATTTGCACGAATTTCCACACTTTGCACATGCATGTGCAAAATCATTACCAGTTGATGACAACAAATAGCAGTTTAGACTTTGCAAGTGTTATAAACACGGACAATTCTTGTAACTACAAAATTGTTTTTGCTTAACGTTTTTAGTCACTACTAGGCATTGAGTTGGTACGCCATAAACAAAATGAGACAGGCGAGAAAGCCGTGACACAATGTAAACAAATCTTCATTTCGGTTACGGTCAACCGAAATAGCAAAACTTGTTACATGAAAGAACAATGTGGCGGATATTGTCCCCTTCGCTCTTAGATATTCTTCAATTTGTCACACATTGTAGGATGTTTTAAGTTTCACAAGCACAATCTGAAGGCCTACAGTATCTTGTTAACAGAGCAAAATATTCGAGGAGTAATATTTTTTATTCAAACGGAAATATTGTCGGTGTCAGCAGTTGCCTATCATGCAATATCAAGTATCAAAATTAGTTCATATGAGTGCCTATAAAACCATGCTTTAAATATTTCGAATTTTATAAAGAGTTGCATGAAAGGACTTTGAACTGAATTACCTTCCTCCATGTTGATCGAATACGAAAACTATATGAGAAGAATAGTGATCGACTTTCTGGAGTATTGGACGGAGTGAAATAAAGTGTATATCTTAATTACGAGAACATTATTTGAAGTTTTGTTACCACATAAATTATTCACATATAATGGTACATTTTAGGAGTAATATTACAACTGTAATTTTGATTAATTCACTGGAAATGATGGCAAGGTATGTTTTAAGAATCTTGCTGTTTTAGTAAACGTGGAAGAATAATAAAATTAATAATAATCTAATCAATAATAAATAATTATTCAATTGATTGACATATCAGATTTTTAGATTTTAAGGCGGAACTTGGCAAACAAACACCATACATATCATGGCAGGACAATCACTTGGTATTAACTTAGTTTCTTGGCTCCTGCTTTTAGATGTTTTTTAAATACTACATTTACTAATAAAGATAATTCTGAAAGTGATTGCTAGTATCATAACTCATTAAAGTTATTTCAACATCCAGAAAAATTGAAAAAGCAAAGGCTACGTTTTGGTCAAACCCTGGTCAGGCATTATCGAGTCCTCGAACAGAATAACTTACAAAAATCTCAGGTGACTTTTCATGTAACGGAATAAAGATTGAAACATATATTTAACCCATATTTGATGCAATTCTTCTGATAAATCATAAGTTTTTTAGGAGGTTACTAATATTTGAAGACTGAGCCAAAGCTAGTGTTTATTAAGATGGTGGATTTGAACAAATTGTTCAAGGTTTGTTGATGGTTATTTGCAAAATGAGCTTCATATTAAATTGCACACTGGTTTGTAGGAGGTGAACGCTTCAGGGCATTTTCATGTCTGTTTTCCTAAACCTTTGTTATGACTTTTACCAAATTTTGAATCAACTTTCGACTACATTTGTATTTTGTGTAACATTCTATTTCAATGCTAGTTAATTGATCGGATAACTGTTGATCTCTGTTCCAAAATTTTGCATCACATGTTTCCTATTTCTGGAAGATGGGTCAGCTAGTGTACAGGTGCAGACAGTATCTTGGATCTTCTTTGTGTTCTGGTGCTGTGACATACCTGTACATAAACGCTGAGAGTTCATGAAGTCCAGTATTGTGGAAGTTTGTATGTAAATTAGGATTCCACAACAAAGTACATATAGAAAAATTAAATGGAAATGATGATTGAAAAAATGATTTCCTTATATTCAGTGTCATTTTATCATGGTGTACAGATTTTGAAGAGAGAAACTTTACTGAGAGTTGCTGCAGATCAGCTGTTGAATATTTGCTTCTGGGTATGTCCAGATACGTCCATGGAAACATATTGTTTACAAGCTCAATTACCTTTTCCAGATTTCCAAATAAGATCAAATAGGTTATGCTGTGATTGATTTGTTTACATTAATTGTACAGACAAATAAGGTGCATGAAGTAGTAGACGGGAAATATTTTCTGCTTTTTATTTACCATTCGCTTAATTCATTAAAAGATAGAAACCCATGTTTTCAGATTATTGAACTAAATTTGAACAACGCCAACGGATAAGTAAAGGCGCCACGCGCAGTGTTGATAATCTTTTTATAGATACAGAAACGATCTGCAACATGAACATGTGGTTGTGTTCACGAGTTTTAAAAAAATTCTAAACCCAAACAACAAAATTCAGTTATCCTTCCCCTGCTAATATCTGTGACGGAGGTGAATAATTGCCAGATAGATTAATTGATTCGAAAGAAATTACGCTTCCTACAGTCTCAGCAGCTAGTCGAGATGCTTTTTCATCGGGCATGTAACTCATTTTCACTCGCCAGTTGTAATCTGCCAGCTAAAATATATTAAAAATCACATACGTATAACTTGCCTCTTTAAATAACATTCACAAACGACGGATGCCAAAGTATCACAAGCAGAATTCACCAACAACGTTCGCAATCACGTAACGTTTCGCCGGCGGTGACGCCATTGTGATTTGCCAGTGGTTGTCCCCCCTAACGTCAAAAACGAAGTGGGCGGGGCTTATCGGCCGGGACTGGATCGGTCTATTCCATGTATTTTAGCTATAAATGTTTGTGAATCAGGATTACGAAATATATTATTTTCCGAATTTGATAAGAATTTGTATTTGTATTGTAATTTGTATAAACCCATTATTGGCATGAGTATATAAAGACCATGATCTGAAACAGGTCACACCTGTATCCTGTATCCATCTACCTGTGGGGTTGTGACCACTCTATTTTATGGGCGGTCCCTTTATGCATTCCACCTGCACATCTATTAATTAACATGTGTGAAACAATACAATCTTTTGTTCATATTAAAGTAGCTGTTTGTCTCTTGTTACGATATTTTATTAATATTGTAACAGCCTCCGTGAAACTCATTGCAACGCTGCAGTCAGGGCCCCGATCCACGAAGCTATCTTGGCGCTACGACCGCGACCTCAAATTGTAACATAGACTTAGGACTAGTAGTAGCGCTACGATAGCTTTGTGAAACGGGGCCCAGGTCTCTAACCAGGACGAAAGCAGAGTTGTAAAAGTAGAAGGTCGCACAACTCTCTTGAAACTAAATCTGATTAAGCATAGTTTATATCACACGTGACATACATTTGAGCTGTGAAGTGATATCGAGAGGCAGGTTACTGTCCTGTCGGATCTGCAGTGCTGTGCTGTTCAGACGGAGTGACCTACCAGGTACGCCTCTACCCGTCAGCCATGGCGCTCCTACTTGGAATGGACCTGTCTACTGTGCTCGTATTTATTATTGTGTTTTGCATAGTGTATTATGTAGTTTCAATGCCGAAAAACCTTCCCCCCGGACCTCCTGTTATACCGTTCCTCGGCAGCCTGGACTTTCTGGTCAAAGGGAATCGGATGGAGCAGTTCAGCCGCTACCACAAACAGTACGGGAATGTGTTCCGCATGTACGTCGGGGGGTACCTGGTGGTAGTTCTCAGTGGATTCGACGTGGTTCGAGACGCCTTCGTCACACAAGCTAGCTGCTTCAGTCATCGACCCAACTTTATGTGGTGGGTCAGTCAAATCAAGGAGGGTAAGTCTTGCATATTTTATGACTAGGGTGTTGTAATACATAAATGCTCCTCAGGGGAAAATGTTTCGAGACACCCACACCCACCCCCGACCCATCCTCCTCCTCCCCACCCACCCATCCCGCTGTGGATCCGCCCCTGTATTTTTAGTACCCGTGTCGTCAACGATTTCATCAGCTTGACTGGCTTGGTCGTAAATAGCGCATACGATGGTCAGTGGGTAAATCAGGTACATTATTTTCATGTCGTCGTGATAGACCCTTTGTTGGTTGGTCGACGCCCTGTCCAGTCCCCTAATCGAGTCAAGTGCAGAAACCCAAGTGACAGGACACCAAATTCACCACCTGACCGAGATTGACCCCCAGATATACTATATCAGCAACCAAAGACAAACAAATCCTAGATATCCCAACATGGATACCTCAAACGTGCTGACTATATATTAACCGGGATGTGTGTTTGCTTCTTGTTGTTTTACGCCACACTCAGCAATATTCCAGCTATATGGCGGAGGTCTGTCAATAATCGAGTCTGGACCAGACAATCCAGTGATCAACAGCATGAGCATCAATCGACGCAATTGGGATACGATGACGTGCCCCGAAATATGTCCGCGAGGTCGACCAGCCGAACCCGTTAGTCGCCTCTTACGAAAAGCATAGGTAGCTAAAGACCAATTCTAACCCGGATCTTCACGGGTTAGAAAACCAAATGACAATACACAGAAGGAACCATGCACGTGACTGAGTCTAGCCCTCAGATGTACTAAATAAGCGACTAAAGACAAAGAAAACCGAGATATCCCAACAGGGACACCTCAAAACGCTTTAACCACGTGGCTACCCAGACCTCTGAAAAACGTGTGCCCATGAGCTCACACTTGATCATCTACGGTATGACATACTACTGTAAGTTCACTCGTACAAAGTTACCACGAGATTATGTATCCCGGAGTCCAAATGTACTAACGTGTAGCGTCAATGTTACTTCGCAGATACAGCTTACATGTATGGCTGAGTTTATCAGAGCAGAGATAATACTCGCCTCTTTATTGACTGTTATCACCTAAGTAGTGGTGAGATCAGACATGTTGTTTAATGTCACGCTGCTCTTATACAACGACACGCATGCGTGGACATTTGCCGGTTCTAAACACCGGACGAAAAGCCGGATAGTACACTATAGAAATATACGTAAATACAGTATGACATACTTGCTATGACCGGATTTGCGCACGTTTCCCGATATTTCCTGAATTTCCTGCACTTTTGAAATATACTCAGCAGCAAAAAAACCCACGTCAGTACAAATTTAAAATTAGATAGGCACTGTAATCAAATCATTACAGAAATGGACATAATAAGCGGATCAAAAACATTTTTGTGTACAATATCTTGACACATCAATGAATTTCAAGACATTACATGAGCGTTTGCAGTCCATTCAGCTTCTTGACTTCAGTATCTAGTGTGACCACCACGAGCGGCAATAACTGCAGCACAGCGTCATGTAGGAGTGCACCAATCGATTGATGAAGGCCATTGGCACCTGGAACCACACTCTGAGAAAGCCCAGGCGCAATAAATCGGCTGTGTTCGGCCTTGGTATGGCATCTGAATTTCATCCCAAATATACTGAGTCAAAAAAGAAACTTCACATTCTTTCTTCAGGGCACTATAAAAGAACAAGAGATGGTGAGATGGTTAAATTGTTATTATTTCATTGCTGAGATCTGTGTGATGTACTCGATACACTGACAGTGCCATAATCAGTTCCATTAGGCTACACCGCCGTTCCAAAACATGGGTATACAGAATGTCAAGTCACAAGAATAAAAATGCGAAGTTTCTCAGTTCAATATCGTGTATGGCCGCCCCGCGCATTCACCACTGCCAAACACCGTCTCCTCATCGACTGCCTGATGCTTGTGAACACGTGGTTGGGGATTCTGCTCTATTGCTCTTGCAAGGCAGCGCCAAATTCCTGCAAATTCTGAGGTTGGTTCCTAAGACCACGAAGCCTTCTCCCAAGTGCATCCCAAACGTGCCCTATTGGATTAAGGTCAGGGGACCTCGCTGGCCAGTCCATGACGTTGATTCCAGCGTTTTGAAGGAAATTTCGTGTCAACATCGCGTTATGCGGCCGAGCATTATCATGCTGGAACTGTAGACCTGGGCCATGAGCCGCCATGAAAGGAACGAGTTTAGGGGTGAGCACCTGGTCGCGGTAAGCAGCAGCTGTGAGGTTTCCACGAATGACCAGAAGTCGGGAACGGTTGTTCCCACAGAAAGCACCCAACACCATGCAACTTCCGCCTCCGAATCTGTCGACTTCCTGTACACAACATTGGGCATACCGTTCACGACGTCGTCTCCAGACTCTATGCCTGCCGCGACTCTGAGGGTAAACCTGGATTCATCGCTAAAGACGACTCGTTTCCAGTCTCTCTGGGTCCATCGGAGGTGACGTTGGGCCCACAGCAGACGTTGACGTTGATGAAACGGCGTCAATATTGGCACACGATATGGACGTCGATAATGGAGATTGGCAGCCCGCAACCGATTTCGAATGGTCTGTGAGGACAGTCGACCTCTAAACATCTCAGCCCTGGTTCGTGTAGCCGGCAGAAATCTGTCACGTAGGTGACGTAGGACGATTTGACGGTCTTCTGCTCGTGACGTCACACGTGGACGACCCGAACTTGGGCGATCAGAAGTGGTGCCAGTTTGTTGTAGACGACCTCGCAAGTCATACACTGTACAACGGCTGCATCCCATTGCTCTTGCGACGTCAATAACTAATCTTCCCGCTTGCAACATGCCAACGGCACGTTCACGTTGCACATTTGACAATCGTGGCATTTCAAGTACCGTTAGAACTGTGGTTTAAAAGTGTTTTTTTCAATTCTTGAGGCCAATGCAAACACGTGCATATGAAGAAAACTTCGATGCGAAGATCACGTGATCGACTGCACGTGCAAAACCTGATTTGGCACTAACGTCATTTGCACGACGAATGGATGGGTTTGAGTGGGTTTTGCTAACGTTTTTCTAGAGTCGAAAGATAGGGATCACATTTCGGATGCATAGATGTATCATCAGAGAAAAATTATTCATTATTTTTCAAATTACATTTTGTGAAGTTTCTTTTTTGACTCAGTATATGTTCAATTGGGTTTAGATCAGGACTAAGGTCTGGCCACTGCATAATGTTGACACCGTTCTGCTGTAGGAAGTCCCGTGTAGCTCTGGCAGTATGGGAGTTGTCATGCTGGAAAATGTTGTTCCGGTGATGTGCGAAATGTGGTATGACGTGGGGTCTGAGAGCTTTGGTCGATGTAGCGCACCGCTGTGATGCCGCCTCCTCTCCCCGGACCAAGGTTCTGGAACACCACAGGACCCACTCTCTGGTTCAGGCCTATTCCACCCCATACCATGACGCTTGCACCTCCCCATGAGTCTCTTTCCACAACACCTTGGTCTGAGTAACGCTGGCCACGTCGTCGCCATATTCTTGTTCTGCCATCTGCAGTTTATACGCAGTACCGACTCTCATCTGTGAACAGAACAGATCTCCATTGCCTGTATCGCCAGTTTTGGTGTTGTAGGGCAAACTGTAGACGTTCACCCCGATGACGAGGGGTGAGGATAGGTCAACGGTAAGGTGTACGGCAATGGAGGTTCCCGCTGTTAAGACGTCGGCGTACTGTACAATCAATACTGATTGGTCTTCCGTGTGTTCCCACTGTCTGGCGTGCTGTTTCGGATGCCTGCATCAACAGGTCTGCCAGTACGGGGGCGATCATTTGTGGTGTTGGTGGCCCGGAAACGTTGCTGCAACCTGTAGATGGTCCGAACGTTGACCTGGAAGTGATTGGCAACGGCTTGTGCAGTGGCCAGCTTCAAGTCATCCTAGCGCCTGGTTTCTCTGAGCTGTCGTGAGTCGCGGTATCCTACTGACGTTGTAATGTGAATGTTTCAACCCGAGGCGTGTTCAGAACCGCGAGCGCCCGCGCTATTGCCTCTAGTGAGCGCTCGCATCGGTCCTGAACGGACGCGAGCGCTTGGTTACATTAAACCATTCGTGACCAACCCGTGTTATTCCGGGACAAGCCGAATAGCTTTTTGTCTTCTTGTTGGAGGTTACGGAAAGGGGCGAGTGGTGACGAATGACATTAAACATGGTCGCCATCTTGGTTCGCTTGGCGAGGCAGCTGTGAGGATGGTTCGCGTGCGCGTGCGGGCGCTCGAACGGGCATAGGCGCTCAAGATCGAGCGCTCGCGGGCACTCGCAGTTCTGAACACGCTTCTGGTTTGGGGGTGCATTATAGGGTTGGTCCTTGTTAGCAGCACGTGCAGCATGAGTTGCATGAAAAAACATAGAGAACACCGTACCATCTCGGAGATCAGGTTGCGATTTGAGACCATTTCCTGGGTTCCATTCTGAGTTTGGGAAGGAATGTCTTTGCTCAGGTAAAGTTGGAGATGTTGTCCAAAATATACAATCAAAACATCAAATGAGTTTACAGTTATCCGTTTCTGCGAAGATAAAAAATTCCAAACTGACGTTTCTTTTGCTGCTTAGTATATATGATCATCGTATATTGCCGTATAAAGCACACTTTTCACGATGCAATGAATTCCAAGCATGCGTTCAAAAGTTGATAAGTAAATGCTTGATCATGGCGTAATTCCTATCCATTCCTTTTAATTGTAACAGGTGCTGAAATTTCCGAATCCCCACTAGGCATACTAGGGTTTAAAATATGAATATTTTCCTATGTGGGGAAACATGTTTAAATATCCAAATGTGTTCATTCCTTATAATTAGACATTTACTCTTCAGGGGTGGTGGAGTAGCCTTGTGGTTCAAGCAATTTCTGATTTCTTGAATCACTCTCTCAAGATGGCCCTTGTTCGATCCCCGACATGTGTCCAATGTGTGAAGTGGAATAGAAAGTATCTTCAGTCAGTCAGTCACTCAATCCACCACTCAACCACTCACTCATCAACCACTGAACCATTCAATCAATGACTCATTCAACCACTCACTCAACCACTCAACCATTCATTCAAACACCTATTCTGGCACTCACTCAACCATTCAATCACTCAGCCATTCGGCCACTAATTCAAACACTCAACCCCTCAGTCACTCGGCCATTCAACCATTCAGCCGCTCAGCCGCACAGCTACCCAGCCGCTCAGCCACTCAGCCACTCAGCCACTCAAGCACTCTGTCATTCAGCCCCACAACCAACCACTCAACCACTCACTCTACTGCAGACCCTTGAAGATAGAATTTGAAGGTTTCAGTAACCCATGCTTGTCGCAAGAGGTGACTAACGTGATAGGGTGGTCAGGTTCGCTGACTTGGTTGACACATGTCATCGTATCCTAGCTGCGTAGTGCGATGCTCATGCTGTTAATCACTGGATTGTTTGGTCCAGACCCGATTATTCACAGACCGCCGCCATATAGCTGGAATATTGCTGATTGCGGCGTTAAACAACAATCAATCAACTGCATCACCGACAGGTATCTTCATGAGCAGCGGCCAGACATGGAAGGAGATACGGAGGTTCAGTCTTCAGACCATGAGGGACTTCGGGATGGGGAAGAGCAGTGTGGAGGACAAGGTGAAGGACGAAGTCAACGCCATCCTCAGCATTCTTTCAGAGAATGAGGGTAAACGGTTTCATTTCCACGACTTCATGGACGTCGCTACTGGCAACATCATCTGCAGCCTCATATTCGGGGAGAGGTGAGTCGAATTGTCAATATTTGGTAAGAATGACACCAAAATGGCTTCCCACATTGAACACACGTAGGGAATCGTACTTAGACCTCTGACGCTTTATAGCAACATTCTAACAATGTCATGGCGGGGACACCCAAAATGGGTTTGTAAGAGACGCCCAACAGGAACTGGTACATGGACGATGCATGTCATCGAATTACATTTACGTGAATAAATGCTCATAATTGCAATCACTTGATTGTCTGGTTCATATTATGTATACCCTTCCCTCATACAGCTGGAATAATGCTTATTTCGATGGTAAAGAAACACACACACAATTTCGTACAACAGCATCTAAACACACATCCATTATAGTCTGTTTGCAGTGAAAACGTACAGGTGAATTTCACTTTAAACATATCGCTTTTTATTCAACTTAGGAGTTATCATATCGCTTATATTGGTTTGTATTACAAGGGGGTAAGCGCAGTAGTTGGAACAGTGAAACAAATGAACGTGCGGTACGTGATGAGCGTTAACTTAGACCAACCCTCCTTGTTCTCGGTGTTTCATTTAATGTGCATACCCCCTTGTAATACAAACCAATAATACCGATTTGAAACTATGATCGTTTGTTAAACAACTTTTATCCTAAGTTGAACAAAAATCTGAGATTTAAATTTTCAAATGCAAGGTAAAATTATGAGGATTCGCAATCTTAATTTCACTTTATTTGATTTACTTTTTTGTTTAAAGTGAAATTCATCGGTATGTTTTCACAGCAAACAGACTATAGTGTAACGTTGACTCTGGCTAATGCAATGAAAACTATGATAAATAATAATGTGGTAATAGATATGAGAGTTGAGGGCGGTGGGGTAGCCAAGTGGTCAAAGCGTTCGCTCGTCACGCCGAAGACCCGGGTTCGATTCCCCGCATGGGTACAATTCGTGAAGCCCATTTCTGGTGTTTCCCGCTGCGGTATTGCTGGAATACTGCTAAAAGCGGCGTAAAACTATACTCACTCTCTCACTCACTGTTATGGGAGATGGGTGGCCCATTTTGGTTGTACTGCGCAATGATCTTCACCGCAGAGGTACGGTAATACTGACTGGTACATTCGGACTGCGAGTCCAATCGGATCATGCCTTGTCCATGCTATTACCGCTCGGGGATCATGCGATATCACGTTAACGCCTGGCGAGTTTCCCTACAGCAATAAGAGACACTGCGTTCAATCACGTAATCTCGTGACTACTCACACTAAGACGTTGGACGGATGCCCTCTGTGTTTTTGCTACGGGTGGTGGGGTAGCCAAGTGGTTAAAGCGTTCGCTCATCACGCTGCAGACCCGGGTTCGATTCCCCACATGGGTACAATGTGTGAATTCCAGTTCTGGGGTTTTGTCGTGATATTGCTGTCCAGAATATTGCTAAAAGCGGCATAAAAAGTAAACTCACTCACTCACTCTCTAAAGTTGTTACAAACAAGAATTAGTTTGCTTGCGTTTCACAATAAACACCGAGTCACTGCAACCGTTTTGTATGCTGACAGCCATGTTTGAATTATAGTCTTAATGACGTAATAGTTAAGAATTGGGACTCATTTAGTGTGACACTCGTAAAATACAAGACAAATCTTATGGATAACAACTTCTTGATTTACTTTTCACAACGTTTCTGGGCTAGTTCTTGCCCCTTCTTCAGGTGGATATCCACGGCGTGGAAAAATAAATCAAGAAGTTGTTATCCATAAGCTTTGTCTTGTATTACTACACCAACTTCTAAATGCCTTTGAAGAATTTCGACACTCGTAAAGGTTAGAATTGGTCTTCAGTAACCCATGCTTGTCGTGAGAGGCGACTAACGGGATCGGGTGGTCAGGCTCGCTGACTTGGTTGACACCTGTCATCGTATCCCAATTGCGTAGATCGATGCTCATGCTGTTGATCCCTGGATTTTCTGGTCCAGACTCGATTATTTACAGACCGTCACCATACAGCTGGAATATTGCTGAGTGCGGCGTAAAAGTCAACTCACTCACTCCATCAGCTCTTCGTATTACCATTCTCTCATTTTTAACAATGTTTGGACATTTGTTGAGATTGCTCACATCACATTGATTGTAAGAAATTTTACATTAACCCGTGAAGATCCGGGTTAGAATTGGTTTTCAGTAACCCATGCTTGTTGTGAGAGGCGACTAACGGGATCGGGTGATCAGGCTCGCTGACTTGGTTGACACATGGCATCGTATCCTAACTGCGTAGGATGCTCACGTTGTTGATCCCTGGATTGTCTGGTCCAGACTCGATTATTTACAGACCCCCGCCATATAGCTGGAATATTGCTGAGTGCGGCGTTAAACAACAAACCAACCGACCTAAAAGTGCTTCTGTTTGTGGCACTATACAGATACGACTACCACGATGAGAAGTTCCACAAGCTGATGCGTCTCCTTAACGACGTGGTCAAGTCGCCTGGAAGTCTCAATCCGTATTATGCCATACCGTTACTGAGGATGCTTCCATCAACGCAAAAGGTATATTGTATATATTGCTGTTATTCGTCTGATTCATTAAATTGGGGAAGGGCGGTGGGGTATCTTAGTTAACGCCTCAGTAGTGACCCAATTCACACTGCATTCACTCCCCCCCCCCATGGTGACCCAGTTCACAAGGCATTCACTTCGCCCACAGGTGACTTAAAGCATCCTGCATAAATTCGAAATTTCGAATTTGAAATGCAAATAAAAGCGACAAAACAATTTCCATGTTCATAAGAAATACCCGCTGTGCATTGTATGATTATGAACATGTGCTTAAGAATCACAAGCAGCTTGTGCTGAAACTAGGTGTTTCGGAAAAGGTGAGCGTATCGTGCTCTACTGAAGGCACCTGTCATATACACATGCAAGACCTAGTACGTTTTCACCCAAACAAACTATGAAGGAGTGAGTGAGTTTAGTTTTACGCCGCTTTTAGCAATATTCAAGCAATATCACGGCGGGTGACACCAGAAATGGGCTTCACACATTGTACCCACGTGGGGAATCGAACCCGGGTCTTCGTCGTGACGAGCGAACGCTTTAACCACTAGGCTACCCCACCGCCCCAACCTATGAAGGAATACTACCAACTGGTTCGTTAATAAACTAAGGGGCAAAATAAACGATACAAAGTCGAAATCACCGATTTTACAAAACGACAAACCATCATTGTGAAAAAGGAAAGTGAATTATGATAACAGATGTATGGGCAAAACTTTTCCTTTTTCACAATGGGGTGGGTTGGGGGTACCGATTTTAAATATCAGTGATTTCGACTTGGTATCGTTTCTTTCGCCGGTTAGTATATATGGGTGAATTAATCCGACATGTCAATGTTATAGAGTTGTGCACGAGGGAAGGGAGGAAGATAAAACAAGCTTAATAACGGTGTAAGAATCTACATCGAAACGTCGCTTTATGCAATAAATAAGAAGTTGTCATCCATAAAGTTGTATGTTTCATTTCTGAGTCACCAACTTCTACAATGCCCATCAAACAATTAGGAAGGGAGAAGGTTAGGTTTAAATTCATATCTTGGATGTATTATTTAAAGCCAATTTTTCGTCGATCAAATGATTATTAAAAAGGTATAGCTATTGTTTCCCAGACGTCATTATGGGTGTAACTATCCGACAAGTAAATACAATGTCATACTATACGAATTTATAAATTTATAACTTTATCTTCAGGATATTGTTCGAAACACACATCCTGGTTGGTGTTTGACATGTTTTGTGATAGTTGCCAGTGGTTACGGGAGGATATCCATTGCTTATTGCAAATAAAACATCATTACACAGTAATATTGATTCTTTACAACAAGGTAATGATATAATCAAAATCATGTTATCGACTCTGCTTTCAGAGACTTTTTGTGGCTGCAGAAAGGGCGTGTTGCCTTTATCACAAATGTATGCATAAATTGGAAAGGTATCTGCTATTCTGAGTCACGAGTCTATAGGTCATCCTACGTAAATCACTGTAGACAATCGACCCATTGTTCATTCAGGTAGTATGACGAGCAATGAGTATTAATGTGACACAAAGCGTGGACAATAAATAGCGCGGACACTGAATTACGCTATTCCGGTTTTGAGTGTCTTCAGCAACCATTCATTACTTACATGTGTTGTTTTGCTGTTTCGTTTCGGAAATACTGAATTTCTCGATCTGGGATACGATGACATTGTGTCAACCAAGTCAACGAGCCTGAACACCGATGTAGCTTGTCTCCTCTTAAGACAAGGACCCGTGAAGATCCGGGTTAGAATTGGTCTTCAGCAACCCATGCTTGTAAGAGTGAGTGAGTGAGTATGGTTTTACGCCGCTTTTAGCAATATTACAGCAATATCACGGCGGGGGACACCAGAAATGGGCTTCACACATTGTACCCATGTGGGGATTCGAACCCGGGTCTTCGGCGTGACGAGCGGACGCTTTAACCACAAGGCTACCCCACCGTCCCTCATGCTTGTAAGAGGCGACTAACGGATGGTCAGGCTCGATGACATATGTCACCGTATCCCAAATGCGTAGATTGATGCTCATGCTGTTGATCACTGGATTGTCTGGCCCAGAGACGATTATTGTACAGACCGTCGTTATATAGCTAGAAAACAATTGTTGTATGCGGCGTTAAACAAAACGGAAAACAAACTTCAGTTGCTGAAGATCAATTTAACAAGGATATTCACGGGTTTGAAAGGTTTTGTGAAATAACAAATGAGTCATTGATAAATGTCGTGGATCGATTGTTACAGAAAGCCCGCGTGGCTATCGGCCACATGAAGCGACTATGTGAGTTTGTCAAAGGCGTGGTTGACGAGCACGAACAGTCCTACGACCCCAGCAACATCCGGGACTTTGTGGATCTGTACATTCAGATGCGTGACGGCGACGGACAGGCCAACAAAGCCTACAACTGTAAGACATATGTTATATTGGGGCTGGGACGGGTCCAAATTTCCTACCCCGGTACCCGACCCCCTATTACCCGACCCGACCCGGGTACCCATTATAACGCTTATTCCCCTTCAATAAAATCAGTGCCGGTGTTTGACTATATATTCTATTTAATAAAAGTATTTTGATATGTGTTTCGCAGTGGAAAACTTTTTGCGCCTCATCGTCGACCTGTTCCTGGCTGGCACTGAGACATCGTCGACATCGGTCAACTGGGCACTGCTGTACATGATGAAGTACCCACACATACAGAAAAAATGTCAAGAGGAAATTGACAACGTAAGCGTTACATTGCCCCAAGATAAAGTATCGAGTGTTGGAAGCCGATTTCAACGCAATCTTGTTATGCCAGCATCCGTGAAGGTCCGGGTTAGAATTGATCTTCAGTAACCCATGCTTGTGGTAAGAGGAGACTAACGGGATCGGGTGGTCAGGCTCGCTGGCTGGGTTGACACATGTCATTGTATGACAACTGCGTAGAACGATGTTCATGCTGTTGATCCCTGGATTGTCTAGCCCAGACTCGATTATTTCCGAAACGCCGCCATATAGCTGGAATATTGCTGAGTGCGGCGTTAAACAACAACCAAGCAACCATCGAGCCAAGCAGCCAACCTACTGGACTTGGTAATATCATTACAAGCGGATCAAGGTCTATATCACATGTTGTAACCTACATGAATTCGTTCTGGCAATATCTGGCATGTTTAAAGTGGACACGTTTGGTAACACCATGCTGTGTTATGTCTCTTTCAGGTATCAGGATCCGCTGAATGTTGGTTCAATTTGTACAAGCTGTACAGTAATTGTATTGCGAGACATAACATCATTTTTCTAAATGGTTTATCTTGACGTCAATACCTTGCATATAACTGAACTACTTGGTTAAGACACTGTAGGGCGGTGGGGTAGCCAACTGGTTAATGCGTTCGCTCGCCACGCCGAAGACCTTGGTTCGATTCCCATACGAGTAAACACGTGAGGCCTATTTGTGTTGTCCCTTGTCGTAATATTGCTGGAATGTGCATGAAAGTGGTGCTGAACTTCACTCATTCCCCGTTATTTAATTATGCCACTTTTAGCAATTTTGTAGCAATATCATAGCGGTTGACATCAGAAATGGGTTTCAAATATTCTACAAATATGCGATCGAACCTGGGTCGTCGGCAAACGTTCAATACACAGTTACCCCACGATCAAGAGAATAGCTGATCACAGCATTGTACGATTCACTTATGTTTCAGAATATTGGCCGTGGAAGGATGATCACCTTCTCTGACAGAGCCAAGCTGCCTTATGTTGAAGCAACCGTTAATGAAGTATTGAGACTTTCTCCAGTGGGTATGTAGATAAAATACATGCTTAAGTTGACTGTTGTTACCTTTTTACACGGCACTGTAATTTTGTAACGCGAATGAAATGTCGGATGTAGTCATATAACGAAAGCTGATAAACACACTGTTTGGAATTTTCTTTTGAACATTTATACTATTCAAATTTGAATTCAATTTGATTATAAACATACACATGTACATGAATTAAGAAGCAAGTGTGGTGTCACGTGGTATCGCAGTTTAAAGGTTACGTCCCTGACGTGTGCTAGTTGTCGTACAATGCGATCATTGCGCTATGGTGATCGTAAGTCCTATACCATATCGTAAACTTACGACAGTTTCGTAAAACGGCATCCAGCATCCCAGGATCGAATCCCACATCCGCAAAAGCGATTACAGGGTCTGTTTTTCCCTTGTTTTGTTTTATTTTGTTTTGTTGATAAACAATTACATTACTTTCCTTCTTCAAAAGTTCAAAACGATCTTTAGTGAGTGAGTTTGGTTTTTACGCCGCTCTAAGTACTATACCATCAACATCACGGCAGGAGACGCCCGAAATGGGCTTTACACATTGTACCTATGTGGGGGATCGAACCCAGTTCTTAGGCGTGACGAGCGGACGCTTTAACGACTAGGCTGTTCCATCGCCTCAAAACGATCTTTAAGTAAAACGTGTCCATAATCATGAGAAATCTCTCCTGAAAAACAGCAGTCCATTGTACGACACCATCTATATATATCATGAGTGAGTGAGTTTGGTTTTACGCTGCTTTTAGCAATATTCCAGCAATATCACGGCGGGGGACACCAGAAATGGGCTTCACACATTGTACCCATGTGGGGAATCGAACCCGGGTCTTCGGCGTGAAGAGCGAACACTTTAACCACTAGGCTACCCCACCGCCCTATATATATCATGAAAATTGTTATGTTTGGTTGGTTTGCTGTTTAACGAAACAATTGTCTAGCTATATGACAACGGAGTGTGAATCATCGCGTCTTGACCGGCCAATCCGGTCATTAACATCAACATCATGATCATCGATATTCTTGACATGTGTTAACCATGTAAGCGAGTGTGGTCACCCGATCCCGTTAGTCGTCTCTTAGTACATGCATGGGTTGCTGAAGACCAATTCAAACGCGGATTTTCACGAGTTACATATGTAAAGAATCACACTGATATGATATCAGAATGCTCGGAAACCCTGCTCATTCACGTAGGGGCGGTGGGGTAGTTTAGTGGTTAAAGCGTTCGCTCCTCACGCTGAAAACCCGGGTTCGATTCTCCAAATGGGTGCAAAGTGTGAAGCCCAATTCTGGTGTCCTCCGCCGTGTTATTGCTGGAATATTGCTAAACGCGGCGTAAAACCGCACGCACGCACGCACTCACTCACTCACTCACTCACTCACTCCACTCACTCCACTCCACTCCACTCCACTCAGGCACGCAAGTTTGTCTTTTCTCCAGTTCCGTTCGTCATCCCGCACAGCACAGACGCCGACACCACCCTTTGTGGTTACAACATCCCCAAAGAAACCATCGTCCTTGTCAACGTGCTCTCTGTCCACAAGGATCCGAAGTATTGGGACGATGTAGACGAATTCAAACCGGAGAGGTTCTTGGACGAAAATGGCAAAATCAAGAAAATAGATGCTTTTATTCCATTTTCTATTGGTAAGTTTTCATTTTAACAGATGCTGTTGAACATGGTTGTGTCGAACTGATGGTTGTGTCGATATAAAAACTACGTCACCCTATTGTGGTTGTATGTGGTTGTAACGAACTTCGGATAACTCGAAGTATTTTCGTAGGTTGTCAAACAAAGTTTTGCCAAAGGGAAAATTTGAGTTGTCTGAGATGCCTTTTAATTTTTCAACCTTCAATCCAGCGATCAACAGCATGAGCATCAATCTACGCAACTAGGATACGATGACATGTGTCAACCAAGTCAGCGAGTCTGACCACTCGATCCAGTTACTCGCCTCTTACAAGCATGGGTTACTGAATATCAATTCTAACCCGGATCGTCAAGGGTCTGTTCATTTTACTCCCAACAACAGACCGCCTCCGTGGTGTAGTGGTTAGAGCGTCCGCCCGGAGAGCGGAAGGTCGCGGGTTCGATCCCCGACCGCGTCATACGAAAAGACGTTAAAATATGGTCCCTGCCTGGCGCTCGTCATTAATGGGTACAACAAGGACTGGTCGGCTCGGAGTCAGCATGTGTCTGAGTAGTAGTCCAAGAGCCCGGGGGTGATTTTTGTACCGAGAGAGGCCAAAAGGTTTGAACATGTATTCTGATGTAAAATTGCCTCACGAATCCAAAAATTTCAGTCTTACAAATCAAAGCTGTGGCTTTAGCCCACTAGGGGGCGTTGAAGCGATGACTCAGCATTTTTTTCAGGTATACTGCTGCATCCCTTTAAATGCCATTTCCCATCTACAAATACTCAGTATTTCACCCAAACTGGTTGCAATGTAAAGAAGAAAGATAAATGTGTAATTTCACAAAACAAAATGTTTAACAGTGTGGTATGTGGAGTAATGACATATTGTTTTTCTTCGTAGATTTACAATTTTTTGTCATTTTACCACCTGAAGTTCAGTGTAATGAAACTAAAGTATAATATAATACAGTATTTAAGGCTTTTAATTATGTAAAATAGTAAAAATGTGTAAGGAATTCAAATATATCAATAAAATGCATATGTCACTCAGGGTATTCATGCGGCATGGTATCTCAGTGACCTAGCACTATAAAAACAGCTTAAGTCTGGGCTAGTACACGCAGCCGCACCTACACATACAGACGCATGCACGTCGTCATATGAGCGAAATATTCTCCAGCACAACGTTAAACCCAATTCCACCTCACCCCAACAACGTGTTTGTTTATTCATTGTTTCACACCCAGTGGAATGACTTTCAGCCGATGATTGGGGCTGATTAGTCTCCACACTTGACATTTCCAATTCAGAGTGAGTGAGTTTAGTTTTACACCGCACTTAGCAATATTCCAGCTATATGGCGGCGGTCTGTAAATAATCGAGTCTGGGCCAGACAATCCTGTGATCAACAGCATGGGCTTCGTTCTACGCAATTGGGATACAATGAGCGAGCCTGACCACCCGATCCCGTTAGTAGCCTTTTACGGCAAAGCATGGGTTACTGAAGATCAATTCTAACCCGGATCTTCACGGGTTGTTTTAATTTGGACAACTAAATATGTCGGAAGCACTGACAATGATCCTACCTACTACAAGTTTATTAACAAAACACATTCCGAACCTGTAGTATCTGTGCCATTCATACACGACCAGATTTCGATCAACGTTTTATATATACTCATGCCAATAATGGTTATCACCCCCACACCCCACCCCCACCCCACACCCCACCCCCACCCACCACACCCGCACACCCCACACCCCTCTCCAAAATTGAAGGGGTGACAACCATTATTGGCATGAGTATATTATATTAACTGTCACGATAAAATGAGTCAGTGATTCAGTTGAGTTTTACGCCGCACTCAGCAATATTCCAAATATATATAGCGGGTCACGATAAAAACAGAATGCACACTGTCAGATCTTCAAATAAAGCGAACCAATGTACTTTGACTCAATGAGATTGTTCAGATGTATATTTTAATTTCATAAACGAAATCTGGAGTGGTAAACAGGCCAGACATACCGCTCCAGGAAGAACTGGTTACATTAATTAATTGTATGTAAACATATTCCTGTAGTATGTATACACGCAGATACAATACATCAAATTGATGTTTAACCGTAGGGTTGAGCGATTGTCCGCGTTAATGTATGCAGTAGCCCTGTTCCAAGGCTGTACCAGTAGCCCTGTTCCAAGGCTGTACCAGTAGCCCTGTTCCAAGGCTGTACCAGTAACCCTGTTCCAAGGCTGTATTAGTAGCCCTGTTCCAAGGCTGTATTAGTAGCCCTGTTCCAAGGCTGTACCAGTAGCCCTGTTCCAAGGCTGTACCAGTAGCCCTGTTCCAAGGCTGTATTAGTAGCCCTGTTCCAGGCTGTACTAGTAGCCCTGTTCCAAGGCTGTACCAGTAGCCCTGTTCCAAGACTGTACCAGTAGCCCTGTTCCAAGACTGTACCAGTAGCCCTGTTCAAAGGCTGTACTAGTAGCCCTGTTCCAAGGCTGTATTAGTAGCCCTGTTCCAAGGTTGTACCAGTAGCCCTGTTCCAAGGCTGTACCAGTAGCCCTGTTCCAAGGCTGTACTAGTAGCCCTGTTCCAAGGCTGTACCAGTAGCCCTGTTCCAAGGCTGTACCAGTAGCCCTGTTCCAAGGCTGTATTAGTAGCCCTGTTCCAGGCTGTACCAGTAGCCCTAGCCCTTCCAAGGCTGTACCAGTAGCCCTGTTCCAGGCTGTATTAGTAGCCCTGTTCCAAGGTTGTACCAGTAGCCCTGTTCCAAGGCTGTACCAGTAGCCCTGTTCCAAGGCTGTACCAGTAGCCCTGTTCCAAGGCTGTACCAGTAGCCCTGTTCCAAGGCTGTACCAGTAGCCCTGTTCCAGGCTGTACCAGTAGCCCTGTTCCAAGGCTGTATGAGTAGCCCTGTTCCAAGGCTGTACTAGTAGCCCTGTTCCAAGGCTGTATTAGTAGCCCTGTTCCAAGGATGTACTAGTAGCCCTGTTCCAAGGCTGCATTAGTAGCCCTGTTCCAAGGCTGTACCAGTAGCCCTGTTCCAAGGCTGTACTAGTAGCCCTGTTCCAAGGCTGTACCAGTAGCCCTGTTCCAAGGCTGTAGCAGTAGCCCTGTTCCAAGGCTGTACTAGTAGCCCTGTTCCAAGGCTGTACCAGTAGCCCTGTTCCAAGACTGTACTAGTAGCCCTGTTCCAAGGCTGTACCAGTAGCCCTGTTCCAAGGCTGTACCAGTAGCCCTGTTCCAAGGCTGTACCAGTAGCCCTGTTCCAAGGCTGTACCAGTAGCCCTGTTCCAAGGCTGTACCAGTAGCCCTGTTCCAGGCTGTACCAGTAGCCCTGTTCCAAGGCTGTACCAGTAGCCCTGTTCCAAGGCTGTACCAGTAGCCCTGTTCCAAGGCTGTACCAGTAGCCCTGTTCCAAGGCTGTACCAGTAGCCCTGTTCCAAGGCTGTACCAGTAGCCCTGTTCCAAGGCTGTACCAGTAGCCCTGTTCCAAGGCTGTATTAGTAGCCCTGTTCCAAGGCTGTACTAGTAGCCCTGTTCCAAGGCTGTACTAGTAGCCCTGTTCCAAGGCTGTACCAGTAGCCCTGTTCCAAGGCTGTACCAGTAGCCCTGTTCAAGGCTGTACCAGTAGCCCTGTTCCAAGCTGTACCAGTAGCCCTGTTCCAAGGCTGTACCAGTAGCCCTGTTCCAAGGCTGTACCAGTAGCCCTGTTCCAAGGCTGTACCAGTAGCCCTGTTCCAAGGCTGTACCAGTAGCCCTGTTCCAAGGCTGTACCAGTAGCCCTGTTCCAAGGCTGTACCAGTAGCCCTGTTCCAAGCTGTACCAGTAGCCCTGTTCCAAGGCTGTACCAGTAGCCCTGTTCCAAGGCTGTACCAGTAGCCCTGTTCCAAGGCTGTACCAGTAGCCCTGTTCCAAGGCTGTACCAGTAGCCCTGTTCCAAGGCTGTACCAGTAGCCCTGTTCCAAGGCTGTACCAGTAGCCCTGTTCCAAGGCTGTACCAGTAGCCCTGTTCCAAGGCTGTACCAGTAGCCCTGTTCCAAGGCTGTACCAGTAGCCCTGTTCCAGGCTGTACCAGTAGCCCTGTTCCAAGGCTGTACCAGTAGCCCTGTTCCAAGGCTGTACCAGTAGCCCTGTTCCAAGGCTGTACCAGTAGCCCTGTTCCAAGGCTGTACCAGTAGCCCTGTTCCAAGGCTGTATTAGTAGCCTTGTTCCAAGGCTGTACTAGTAGCCCTGTTCCAAGGCTGTACTAGTAGCCCTGTTCCAAGGCTGTACCAGTAGCCCTGTTCCAAGGCTGTACCAGTAGCCCTGTTCCAAGGCTGTACCAGTAACCCTGTTCCAAGGCTGTACTAGTAGCCCTGTTCCAAGGCTGTACTAGTTGCCCTGTTCCAAGGCTGTACTAGTAGCCCTGTTCCAAGGCTGTACTGAATGCTAAACCCATGGATGTATAGTAATTCTATCCCTATAGATAAGCGGACAGTCTAAGGACACCAGTCAGTTGGACGGACAAATGTTCTTTTAATTTATATTTTTTAGAAATTACATTTAATTATTTATTACCTTAGAGACTTGTGCAAGTCTAGGAATGCAGCATCTCATAGTCAATATTTTATACAAATTATATTGAGATATGACCTGGTATACAAGTGATTGTTTCTTTTTAGGGCCACGTGTTTGTGCTGGGGAAACCTTGGCAAGAATGGAAGTGCTGATGTACTTTGCCAATATGCTACAGAACTTCACCTTTAGAAAGCCCGAGGGTGCCACGCTAAACTTCAACGGATTCATTGGTGCTACATATTTTCCATTGCCTTATGAACTGATTGCTGACAAAAGATGAAGACAACATGAATAGGTGTAAATAGCCCCATGCTTTGAACATCATTCAAAAATTCAATACATGTTTTAGGGTTATATCGATGTGAGATAGGTTTGTTTAACTCACCGGATACGCTCACTTCCAGAACAATGATTGACTGACTTATAATTGTTAAATAGCCATATGACAAGGGTTACTCCAGAAATGGGCATCACAAATATTACCCATATCGGGAGTCGAACCAGGACATTTGGCGTGACAGGCGAACGCTTTAACCACTAGCTTACCCTACAAGGACAGTGGTCATTTTTTATCTCCTTAATCAGTAAATCAATTGGTTTTACAAGTATGTCATTTCACATATTATACTCATGTATGTATACAACTGCATCGAAGAATGCATGTTATAATTGAACTACCGCAATAAAGACAATTTTTTCATATACAATTTCATGTACAAAGTATGAGTGAGTGAGTGAGTTCAGATTTACGCCGCTTTTAGCAATATACCAGCAATATCACGGCAGAGGACACCAGAAATGAACTTCACACACTGTACTGATGTGGGGAATAGAACCCGGGTCTTCGGCGTGACGAGCGGACGCGTTAACCACTAAGCTACCCCACTGTTCAGGTGGGGGTAGGGGTGGGGCATTCTTAGGTATAGTGTGGGATAAAGCGTAGTTAAAGTGTTTCGATATATACGTGTAGTTAGGGGTTCTAAACTTCTGAAGTAGGTTTCAGTATGGAAACACACTCTTCAAAAGTAGAAACGCATAGGTCCCAAATACGGAAATATATTGAACGTATTTAAGTGACATACGTCGAATAAGCTTGAACATAGATGACTGACTGAGTTTAGTTTTACGCCGCTTTTAGCAATATTCCAGCAATATCACGGCGGGGGACACCAGAAATGGGCTTCAGACATTGTGCTTCGATACACGGATGAACATTATTATGTTTTGCTGGTATTGCCAGCATTAACACAAGGGTTCGTTCAGGTCACTACCTTGTAACATAACCCCTTGCACTGCTCGAAGTCCTCGGATTTTTGCTTGGAGAATTCTTCCTCCTACAACGCGTTGGCAAGTTCTGAAAGTGTCTGAAGACGATGATGACGTTTAGGGCGCGCCGATCAAGTTCGTCCCATAGATTCTTGATCGGGTTCAGATCAGGCGATTTGGAAGGCCAGGGAAGGACACTGACGTTTGCATTGGCGAGACAAGCACCAGTTACACGAGCTGTGTGGGGTCGAGCGTTATCGTGTTCAAACAACACCCTCTGGCGGTTACAAAGTTGCAGGTGGTGAGGTCGCAGGATTTGGTCCATGCAGCGATCTGCTGCAAGATCGCCTTTAGCTCTGATCTACACGTGTGGGACATGGCTCCCACACCATGACGCTCTCGCCACCAAATCTGTCCGCCTGCAGTGTTTGAAATACTTTAATTTGCCAGTTGGCCATCAGGACCTGCCGCCGCCTGCAGGCTTTAAAATCTACAGGCCCTGAATGAAATCTGCAGACGCATTATATTTAAGTCAAACCAATAAAAACAAAACAGACTACACGGTACACAGTTTCACACTGTTTCTACAAAATCAGTTAGCAAAGCCTGTAGTGAAGAAAGAAGTTTTTATTTGTTAAAGACTGGTGTTGACATTCTTATGCGCGAAGAGCTGAAATATCAGGAAGTGAATCTGTAAGTTGATGGATCATGGATGATTCCCAAACGTTAATAAAGAGAAACAAATATTTGAAAGATTCTAGTTGAATAAAAGACAGATAATTTACTGAAGGCCTCAAGGGCCTGCAAATATTTGAAACTGCCGGGCCGATACAGTATCAACCGTTGCTGGGCCTCCGGGCCGGCGATTATTTCGAACGCTGTCCACCTGTCCAACGCATGTCGGTGGAAAACGTTCTTGTTGACGTCGATGGACACGTTGTCTCCCATCCCGTCGTTGCAGGAGGAAACGCGAGTCATCGCTGAACAAACGCTTTCCATGCGTTCCCCAGGCTCCATGCCTGTACCCTGTTGAACCATTAGACGCGTCGTTGTCTGTGTACTCGTGTCAGGACAGGGCCAATTTTTGGTCACTATGCTCGAATTCCTACTTCACTCGATTTCTGATGGTTTGGTCGGAAATTCTGTCCTGCTCAATCACCAGATCGAAAGACTGGAAGTTTATAGCAGAGTGTTTTAGTTGAAATCTCCCTTGGAAGCAGATGACGAGGAAATATAAGATCCAATATAATTTACGCAATTGTTCGCATGGTGCTTGCACATGAAATCACGCATGATCAAGACCTCTTTCAACTGCCAGAACATTTGTGAGGTTAACTCAATACAGTAGTCGTACAGGCGTCTGAAGAATCTGATATGAGTGAATGAAGTTTTACGCTACTTTTAACAACATTCCAGATATATCTTGACGGAGGACACCAGAAATTGGCTTTAACGACCTTTCTTCGCCTTTTCTAAAGAGAGCACGTACAAAGGGACGTAATCCGAAACCTCCGTATTGGCTTCACACGTTGTACCCATGGAGGTACGTCGTTCAGTGTGACGAGCGTACGTTTAAACTATTGCCTACTCACGGCGCTACGTACATTACTATCCCCGGTCTTAGGACAACAATCGTACTTTCCGATACTTTTTCAACCTGGGGATCATACAGCCATGCTGCCTGTTAGGAGTAATGAACAAAACACTCACATTGTCAGCACATCCTCACGGGTACCCATTTTGCACCTGGATGAACTGAGACAATGTGGATTTATGTATCTTGTCAAAGGATACTGCGCAAATGGGCCACTTCGTGACCCGAACCTAGGTGCCTCCACCGGGGATCAAACCCGGGCATTCATCGTGATAGGCAGACGCCTTACTACTGCACTGTTGCTCTCCACAATATAATGTTACCCCATCGCCACTGAAGATATGAACAGTGCACACAATGAATATAACAGAGTGGCACAACAAGCTTTTATCATTGAAACAAAGACATGAACAACACTATCAGCGGCAGTGCCACGATACTGATGGATACGGGATTAGGAACAAAGAGATCATTTGGTAGAAGCTCAAAACATAAAATATGATATTTAACCAAATAGTTTTTAACCCAATTAATTACCATATATATTACAATCCCATTACGTTTAGGAAGACAGTGACAGCGCAATGGCGATAAATAAGTTTTTTCAATATGGCTGCCTTGTCGGCCATATCCGGAATTCTATTCTCCAAGTTGTTTGTCACTGATGGCAACCGGGATGTAAAGTTTCTGCTTCATTGGACTGGTGGTGGCTCAGAAGATGTTCCGGATGAATAACAAATAGGCCATAACATACACCCACTTGACTTTCAGGATTGGCCTTCAGCAACCAGCATGTCATCGTCTCCCAGTTACGTGGATCGATGATCATGATGTTGATCACCCGATTGTCTGGTCTAGACTTGATTATCTACAACCCATCCTTGTCGTAAGAGGCGAGTAATAGTGGCCAGTCTCGCTGACTTGGTTAACACATCGTATCTTAATTGCGTAGATAGATGATCATGCAGTTGATCACCGGTTTGTCTGGTCCAGACTCGACTATATTCCGCTGCCATATAGCTGGAATATTGATGAGTGTGGCGTTAAACAGCAAACAAACCAAACATAGAGGGCTCCAATACAGAATTGTACATAGAATTTTAACAACCAACTCCTTCCTCCACAAAATAAACAAAGAAGCCAGTGTTTGTACATTTCTTGGTACGGGAGAAGAATACTTAATCATTTGACTTTATCCTTTAAGTCTTTTTGGAACAACGCACTTGGTTAATCGAAAAGTATGACCATATTTTCAAACAGAGTATTCCTACTATTTTCGGCTGTAATAGTGATACTGACAAATAAGGTTTTGGTATTTTACTGGTAAAATGGCCAATTGTTTTGTGTATTGATGCACATGTCAGGGAAGTAACCAAACATTTCAGGCGTTAAAAAGAAATTTGAGCGGCGATGTTTCAGCATTATGACGCTGATTGAGTTTTACATAAAATGGGTTATGTCGCATACGTTTTTAGAATATTTATACGGTATGAAGAACTCACTCTATCCACCCTTGCCATGTCATTACTGTCGCATGATTAAAACTCGACCATTGGGCTGGTGTTTAAACGTTTATTGCTTGGAGAATATTTTATGAAAAGCACACCTTTGACAGTGATGACTAAGATCCAATCTTGGCTCAGCCACTTCGGTTAAATCATTTCTCTAAATCTTCATATATGATAAAAAATGGTTTGATTGCGGTATACATTATGTCAGAGATAATTGTAATAAAAATGGATTTCTCAGTTTTGAAGATCTAAAACAGAGGTAGAAAATTATTAAATAGCATTCCAGTGAACTGAAGACAACTTTTAGTGAACAGAAAAGAATTTTCTCCGCTTATATCAATTAAACATTAAGAGTGTTTACCAAGATATGATCTCAAAAGTTAAAATTGCAAGAATATTCTATAGTGAATTACTTAAGAACAACAATACCCCTAAGGTACTAGAGTATTGGAATACTGTCAATAAGCATGATAAAATTTGGAGTGATATTACAGGAAATGTACAAATGATTGTAAGCTGTTAGACTTTCAGTACAGATTTATTTGCAGAATAATATATACAAAGAATGAACTATTGAGGATGAAGCTAGTTGATATCGATATTGTTTGTGAAAGTTCCTCAGAAGACATATTGCATGTATTTTTTTACTGTGACAGTTGAAAGCTTTTGGCATATAGTAGAACAATTTCTAAATACTCATCTCCAATGTGATGTCAATTTCGAATTGTAAACCAAAAGTCACTGTGTTCTTTAATCTGATTGGTTGATAAACATGATCAAATGGTATTCGATTCCCGGAAATTCGCTGCGTATTAATACATACAGACATCACTCACACCATTGTAGAGTTACGTCGTCAGCAGAGATGACGTCATTCAAATCATATTGTGACGTAAAGTCCGAATGACGTCACAAATGAGCAGTTCCAGATGCTACCATGGGAGACAGCCGAAACGGCCGGCTGATGACATTGCACTGCTGTACCCGTACTCTATGTCAATGAGTGCAGACACAAAAACGTGTGTGGACCTTTTGGTTTACTTTTGTGTTTACAATGTCGATAAACATCATGTGTTGGCCAATTTCGGGTGTTATTGAGTATTTGAAGCACGGGAATGTTTCATTTGAAACCTCCGGCTAACGCCGTCGGTTCCAAATGAATTCCCGTGCTTCAAATACTCAATAACACCCGGAAATTGGCCAACACATGATGTTTATCTCCTAATTCCATTATCATGTTTGGAGTGTGCTCAAACAATGAAATACTAAGTCATATTAATACTTCTAGCCAAATGATGCATTTATGTTTCGGGTGTAAAACATTCTCTTTC